CGTCGTTCACATTTAATGCTAGCCATCCCTGACTTTCAACTCACGGCAGTTGTGTGAGGAAGGCCATGTGAAGTCCCACCAACGCTCTTTTGAGAGCTTTAGGTTGCCACCCTCAAGGCCTGCAAGACGGAGCTGTTCTGCCAGGCTTTTGGTTGCGGCAGCGGGCGTCCACATATGGCCTCCCCGAGGTTGCTGTCTCCCACCTGCCGGCCATCCATCGGTAACCGGCCATATCCATCTGTATTAATGGGTCAGAACTTTCACCAGTAGCTATAACCACTGATTTTAAATATTTATATTATGTCTTTAGGGGGCCACGGTGGCTCATTGGTTAAGACACTGAGCTGCAGACCAGAAGGTGGGTAGTTCAGCAATTCGAGACCCGAGTACTGCGTGACAGAGTCAGCTCCCGTCTCTAGTTCCAGCTCCTGCCCACCTAGCAGTTCGAAAGCAAGAAATTACAAGTAGATAAATAGGTACCGCTTCGGTGGGAAGGTGACAGCCAGGGGTCGTTTCCTGCAGGAGCGCACAGGAGCGGAGCTCCGGCAGTAAAGAGCCCAGGAGACGGGCACATGCAACAAGCCCCTACTCCTAGCAGTCCTCACTCAGAGCAAGAAGCAGCCAGGTAAGTTGCCGAGCCCCCCCCCTCGGCCCCCTGGTCCAAAACAGTCCAGTGACACCTTTAAGACCAAGTTTTATTCAGGCACAAGCTCTCCCTCTGCGAGGGCAGATCTGCACGTTCCCCCCCCCCAATAGCTAGCAATCCAAAACAGTCCAGTGGAGCCTGAGCGGTGGGTGCTGCCTTCTGACACACTTCCGGTGAAGTCAGGGGGCGTGGCATATGCAAATAAGTTATGCTAATGAGCGATGCTAATGAGCTCCTGCACCTCTTTTTCTACGAAATGACCCCTGGTAACAGCGTTCCACGCGCCTCGTCATGCCGGCCACATGACCACCGAGGTCTTCATACAGCGCTGGCTCTTCAGCTTGGAAACGGAGATGAGCACCGCCCCCTAGAGTCGGATTCGACTGGCTTTTGAGCAAGGGAAACCTTTACCCTTTACTATTGTGTTTTTAAACTTTATTGCAACTGTTAAAACATGATGTGACCCGCCCTGAGAACCTCACGCGGGATGGGTGGGATACAAATATGGAAATAATCATCATCATCATAGGGCCTGGTGTTCTCCTGGGATTACAACTGATCCCCCAATTGCAGAGATCAGTTTCTCTGGAAAGCAAGGGCCGCTCTGGAGGTCAGACTAGATGGCATCCCACCCCTGCTGAGCTTTGTCCACTCCCCAGGCACTGCTGCCAAGGCCTCCAGGGATTCCACAGGACAGTTGGCATCCCTCACTAAGCCCCGTGTCACAGTGGGGGTTGAAAGCTGCTGAGAAGACTCCAGCCTCCAAGCCAAGTCGGGCCTTCTCACCAGTAACAGTTTCCAAACCTCGATTTGTATCTCGTCCTCCTCCTCCCAAAACGGTCAAGGTGACCCACGTGGGTCTCAACCACCTTGCAGGGTAGGCAAGGCAATGGGTTCCAGGCCAGCCACTCAGCTCCACGGCAAAATCCTTTCAAAGAGCACAGTACAGGAATAGGAGCTGATGTGTGTTTCGTTGACACGGGTTGGTTCTCGGGTTGTCAGCTCAGGGTTGGGAATTGCCTGGAGATTTTGGAGGTGGAGTCTGGCGTTTGGGGAGGGGAAGGACGTCAGCAGGACAGCGGCCACCCGCCAAAGCGGTCATTGTCTGCATCTATGAAACAGCCATTGGCTAGTTCCCAGCCGTTCCAGTTGTTTAAGACAGAGGTGTCGAACTCATTTGTTACGATGCCTGGATGTGACATAAATGTCACTTTGTTGGGCCGGGCCATGCGTGCCATAAAATGTTATGCCAAGTACTGGAAATATAAACTGTATAAAGGACAGCAGCAGGAGAAGAAGAGAAGAGATTGGATTTATACTCCGCCCTTCACTACCCAAAGGAGTCTCAGAACGGCTTACAAACTCCTTTCCCTTCCCCTCCCCACACCGGACACCCTGCAGGGTTCCCTCTAAGCTGAGTTAGTGTGAGCTAGCTCACAGTTTCTTAGTCTCTGGCTCACACATTTTTGTCTTAGCTCAGGAAGGATGGCTCCAGAGCAAACTAATTTATGCTGTAGCCACATTGCTCGCTCACAACAAGCCAGTAGCTTACAAAGTAGAATTCTTGCTCACAAGACTCCACAGCTTAGAGGGAACATTGCTACAGTAGGTGGGACTGAGAGAGCTCTTGGCAGAAACTGCTCTTTTTCAAGAACAGCTCTTATCAGAACTACGGCTTGCCCAAGGTCATCCAGCCAGGTCCAAGTGGAGGAGTGGGGAATCAAACCCGGTTCTCCCAGATTAGAGTCCGTGCACTTAACCACTACACCAAACTGGCTCTCAAGGCCCCATGGGCTGGGAGGAGGTGCAGAGGAAGACCCACCTGGGTGGACTGGAGAGGCAGCGGTTGCAGCACTGGGCAGACGCTCCCACGCCGCTTGACTGCTGCAGACGAGATTGGTCTGCTGTGCTGAAGCCGCAGTTGGAGAGGCTCCGCCCACTCTGCTCCCTGAGCAGTCTTCTGTTCCCTCCCATGCTCACAGGCCACATAAGAATCCTGGACGGGCCAGTTCTGCCCCCTGGGCCTTATGTTTGACACCTCTGGTTTAAGATGTCTTGGCATCTACTGACTCTGAAACTTTATTGCAGGGGCCGGATCTGACATAAATGAGACCTTGTTGGGCCAGGCCATGTGTGTCATAAAATGTAACGCCAGGTAGCAGAGATATAAACTTTATAAAGGACACACACACACACAATTAAAGATTTTTTAAAAACTTTAAATAAAACATGTCTCCTGTATACGATTGAGGCAGCCTGGCCAGGAAGCGAGCGCTGGCTGGTTCCCTCCCCCCCCCTGGGAGGCAGTTTGGTGTAGTGGTTAAGTGAGCGGACTCTAATCTGGGAGAACCGGGTTTGATTCCCTACTCTTCCACTTGCACCTGGCTGGATGACCTTGGGCAAGCCATAGTTCTGGCACAGCTGTTCTTGAAAAAGAGCAGTTTCTGTCAGAGCTCTCTCAGCCCCCACCTACCTCTCAGGGTGTCTGTTGTGGGGAGGGGAAGGGAAAGGAGTCTGTAAGCCGCTCTGAGACTCCCTTGGGTAGTGAAGGGCGGAGTATAAATCCAATCTCCTCCTCTTCTCTTCTGGGAGAACTGATGTCCTCATAACTAACAGAACCTTCTGCAACCCTGTTGCCAAATCTCGAGGATAACCTCTCTGAACTATTGCCGGAAGCAGGAAAATGCAAATGTTTGTGCCTACCTTAAACTGCAATGGAAGATTTTAATTAAGTTATCCTGCTGTGTTTGGAGTCATAGAAGCTAATAGGATTTGTTTCAGGAGCACTTAAGCATATGGTAGGGAGCCCCGGTGGCTCAGAGGTTAAGACGCTGAGCTACAGACGGGAAGGTCTGTAGCTCAGCAGTTCGAGACCCGAGTGCCGCGTGATGTATTGAGTTCCCGTCTCTGGCCCCATCTCCTGCCAACCTAGCAGTTCGAAAACAAGGAACTGCAAGTAGATAAATAGTATATGGGTTGTGTGGCTTTGGTGGGAAGGTAACAGCGTTCCGTGCGCCTCGGTGTCTAGTCATGCCGGCCACATGACCATGGAAATGTCTTCGGACAGCGCTGGCTCTTCGGCTTGGAAATGGAGATGAGCACCGCATCCCTAGAGTCGGATTCGACTGGCTTTCGAGCAAGGGAAACCTTTATCTTTACCTTTTTAAAGCATGTGGTTGATTCTGAATGAGCAAATCTACCCTGAACCAGAGGGAACCCTGAGTCAGATTGATAAATTTGGAGCATTACTATTGTTCCCCCAGGTCTTTTTTTTAAACCAAACTTTTTCTTATTCTGGAAAAAAGCTCTAATTCTTTTAATGGAAAACAACAATAATAATATTGTTGTCGAAGGCTTTCACAGCCAGAGTTCATTAATTGCTGTAGATTTCCTGGGTTGTGTGGCCGTGGTCTTGGCGTTGTAGGACCCGACGTTTCGCCAGCAGCTGTGACTGGCATCCTCAGAGGTATAACACAGAAAGATGGAGTACTCTCTGTGTCTAGGTGAGAAGAAAAATGGTAGGCAGGTAGTTTATATCTATTCAGGAAGGTGGGGTGGGGCTGAGTCATTATCTTGTAGGAGTTCACCAGGCTATGAACATGCTAATAGAGGAGCTTTCCTGAGGAGATTCTTTTGTATATGGATTGTTTCCTGAGGAGGTTTCCTGTTTCCTGAGGAGGTCCTTTCATATGTGAATTGGCTGTTGAAATTCTAATCTTATCTGGAGTGCTACTGTCAGATGTAGAGCCTTTTGTGTTTTTCAGGATAGGAATCCATGCCCTATTTATTTTTAAACTCTCTTCTTTCCTGTTGAAATTGTGTTTATGTTTATTAATTTCAATGGCTTCCCTGTGTAATTGGAAGTGTTGTCCAGCCTTTCAGTGTCTTGGAACAAAATACTGTGTCCTGTTCTATATAAAAAGAACCTCTCCTCAGGAAAGCTCCTCCATTAGCATGTTCACAGCCTGGGGAACTCCTACAAGATAATGATTCAGCCCTACCCCACCTTCCTGAGTAGATATAAATTACCTGCCTACCGTTTTTCTTCTCACCTTGACATAGAGGGTACTCCATCTTTCTGTGTTATACCTCTGAGGATGCCAGTCACAGCTACTGGCGAAACATCAGGTTCTACAATGCCAAGACCACGGCCACACAACCCGAAAAATCTACAGCAACTTATACGGGACAAATGCACCCATTCTACTGGCCTCATCCTGCCTGCAGACCTGCAGTGGGAGCCTTCTCCAAACTGGTTTTCTCATGCACATTTCCTGTTTGAGCCAAAGGACAAGAGAAGTTTCAGACACCCCTCTAACATCTTTGAGGCGAAGGAAGAACATAACACTTCTGACAAGAGAATAACCATTTTATTAAAGATACAGTACGCTTGGATTAAGTTTAATACTGATTTCCCTGCTTTGTTTTGTTCCTATCACTATAATACATTCATTACTCCAAATTTCAAACAAAGTACATAAGATTGACGTTATACTCATGTGCCAAATACTGTCTGTAATCTGGAGGGGAAAAAAATACACCAAAGGCATATACATATATATAATATTCAGACACCTATACAAGAGTTAAATTTCTCTATAATGTACAGAGAGCAGGAGAGATATAGTCTATCTTTTTTACATTTATGTTTTGAGACATTCAAAAAAGAGAGATTTAAAACCAACTTATTGTGGCATCACCTTTTAACTCAAGTTAAGTAGTACATATCACCAACTCCGTGACAGAATAATCTCATCAGGAAGTACATATATATTAGAAATCAGCATGGCAGAGCTTCGCCCACTTTTCTCATAAAGTTTTAGTCTCTTAGAAAATTCAAGGTTTACTAAATACTGATTTTTTTTTTGTTTTGTTTTACATTCATCTGGAACAAAATTCAGTCCCAGAAGAGGGTGGGGAAATAAATAATTCATCAAAAAAAAAAAGGCTTGAGTTCTGAACGGACTTTTAATAAAAACCTGTTACAGGATACAAATTTGCTGGGAGATTTTTTTTTTAATTACACGCACTCATATACACACGCACACACGCACATGCAATCAGGAAGTCAGTAAAAAAAAATCTCCCAAGATTGAGGCTAAGTCATTAAATAAAGTTACTGTGGTGTGCACAAAGAGGTCCATTCAGATGAATCAAAACACCAAGGACAATAAGAATTTTTTTCCCAAAATATAATCCTTTTCTTATATATATTTATATATGTACGTATGTACAACTTTACAGGAGCAGAAAGAACCTGGGAAGGGATTCCATCAATGTGCACAGCATAGAAGTTTCTGTATAAAAAAAAAGATTCCCAACAGTAGCTTTGTATGCTTACCTGCTTCACAATAGTTCACGCCGTTAAGAAATCTTGATGAAATAAAGGCACTACAGATCTCTAGGTAGCGCACCAGGGCTTACAGATTCTTTGACCAAGAGATAACCGAGCAGATGAAAATTCAAAAAAGAGCTCATCTCTCAAACTCATTCCAGTGTCGAAAAGCTTTACAAAAAATCTAAAAAACATACAAAAACAGCTTGAAGAGCTTAGTGCAAATATGAAAATCAAACAGCATAATTTTTAAAAGGTATTTAAATAAGCTGAAACAGGGTGTTTTTTTCATTTCCTATAAGTCGATGTCATGACCCGGGGAAGCTTCCCCATAGAGATGATACAAACCCAAGAGCTGGAACGGAAAACTGAAAAAACCTGCCCAAGCAAAAGTATTTATTTGATTTTAGCTTAGAAAGGGCAGGAGAGGGGCTGCCGCCCAATCTTTCTTTGAGGTCAGCACATCCGAATTGCTGGCCTGGATGCTGTCCTTTCCCCCGCTCCTCAGCGGCATCAATAGGTCTCGTCATCGTTGCAGTCTGTGGTCCAGTGCCCAAACACCTCGCAGATGTCACAGTAGGGGCGCTCTTCTTTCCGGTTGCCGTGATGAGTCGAATGCGGCGGCTCGTCCATCGCCTGCGCTTGAGTCGGACAGTCTTCCGTGTCGTGGAGGTCGAAGCAGTCGCAGATGTCGCAGAAAAGGCGAGGCTTCTTCTTCGTAGGGTTCTCTTCGTCACTGCCAAGATCAAAACGGGAAAAGCTCATTTCGTTGTGGTCGAACATGGCCCTGCTCCTCAGCTTATTGTCATGATTCTTTGCCAGAAACAGTTATACAATTCTAGTGAAAGATTACAGAAAATCCAGAATTCCGTTGGGGGGGGGGGGCGAGGTTGTTGAAGAGAAGATTTTGTTACCTGCTGATCAATTAAGATGCAAACGGAACATTAAGGAAAACTCTGGGCTTTCCCCCAACCCTCCCCCATGAATGACTGCTAATTGCAAACCGGGAACAGGTCTTAAAACTTCCTTGCAGGTCTTTGCAGGTCTTAAAACTTCCTTGGGCTACATTCGCCTTTATTGGAGAGGCAAGCAGCCTGAAATTCATACTAAGGCTTTAGACTTTTTGAAGAGCACTGGCTGAAGCTTCTCTCTAGCCTGCCAGTCATGAACAAGATAGATCAAGATGGGTCGCCGTGTTGCAGTAGAACTGAGCAAGAGTCCTGGAGCACCTTAAAGACACCCTGCCACAAATTTTGTTAGAATGTAAGGTGGCTCAGTGGTTAAGATGCTGAGCTGCAGACTGGAAGGTCTGTAGTTTGGCAGTTCGAGACCCGAGTGCCGCGTGACCAAGTGAGCTCCCGTCTCTGGCCTCAGGTCCTGCCAACCTAGCAGTTCGAAAGCAAGAAACTGCAAGTAGATAAATAGGTACCACTTCGGTGGGAAGGGAACAGCGTTCCGTGTGCCTCAGCGTTTAGTCATGCCGGCCACTTGACCACAGAGAAGTCTTCGGACAACGCTGGCTCTTTGGCTTGGAAACAGAGATGAGCACCGCCCCCTAGAGTCGGATTCGACTAGCTTTCGAGCAAGGAAAACCTTTACCTTACCTTTTTTACTTAAGGAGCTACTGAAGTCAGGAACAAAGCCATCCCCCTACATCCTTGAAAGGTCAAAGTCTCCTTTGATCTCATACCGAGTAGCTATTTCCAGTCTCCCCATCCATCAACAGGCATCCCCATTCGCAGTGTTAGGGAATTCAGAGGAACAGCACTCTCCACACTGCTGCCCTGACATAGTTTAACTACGATAACAACCAGAGAAATGGTTTCCTGGAACAGGGGAAACCAACCTTTTCGAGCCTGTGGCCAGATTTTGAATTCTGACCCAGGGTAATGGGTGCCAGCACAAAATGGCCACCTGGGAAGCCCACATACAGGGGGATAGGAGCAGTGTTCCCTCTAAGCTGAGTTAGTGTGAGCCAGCTCACAGTTTTTTAGCCTCTGGCTCACACATTTTTGCCTTAGCTCAGGAAGGATGGCTCCAGAGCAAAGTAATTTATGCGGTCGCCAAATCACCTGCTCACAACTTTAATGCCAGTAGCTCACAAAGTAGAATTTTTGCTCACAGGATTCCATAGCTTAGAGGGAACATTGGATAGGAGGGGTAAATTTTAAAAGTACTCTGGGAAAGAAGAGTCAGAGAGAGAGAGAGAGAGAGAATAAAACCAACACTGTAGTGTCAGCTGTTGCTGAAATGTTATTTTAATCTTTACAGCCAATCAGATCTCAAATAAGCTATCAGAAGCCCTACTGGGGGAGGGAGGAGGAGGAGGAGAAGGAGAAGAAGAAGAGTAGTAGTAGGAGATTGGATTTATACCCCGCCCTTCACTTGGAGTCTCAGAGCGGCTTACAATCTCCTTTCCCTTCCCCTCCCCACAACAGACACCCTGTGAGGTAGGCGGGGCTGAGAGAGCTCTGACAGAAACTGCTCTTTTTCAAGAACAGCTCTTGTCAGAGCTATGGCTTGCCCAAGGTCATCCAGCAGCTGTGAGTGGAGGAGTGGGGAAATCAAACCCAGTTCTCCCAGATTAGAGTCCGCGCAGTTAACCACTGCACCAAACTGGGAGCAATGCTCCCTCTAAGCTGAGGAGTCTTGTGAGCAAAAATTCTACTCTGTGAGCCACTGGCATTAAAGTTGTGAGTGAGCGATTGGGCTCCTGCATCAATGAGCCCTCCTTCCTGAGCGGAGACAAAAATGTGTGAGCCGGAGGCTAAAAAACGGTGAGCTGGCTCACATTGACTCAGCTTAGAGGGGACACTGCTGGGGAGGAGCCCATCCTCTTCTGAAAACACCTGGCGGGCACGGGGAAAGGCGTGGGCAGGTACCGTGTGCTCCCGGGCACCGCGTTGGGGATCCCTGTCCTAGTGGAAGAAAGCCTGAAAACCACCGTAACACGAGAGGGGACTAGAGCATCCTGAGCTGGCTTACTGTTTCTGACTTAAGGGGGCATCTCGGGGAGGCTGGCGACCAGGGGTCCTTTCGTAGAAAAAGAGGTGCAGGAGCTCATTAGCATAATTCATTAGCATAACTTATTTGCATATGCAACACCCCCTGACCTCACCGGAAGTGGGTCAGATGGCAACACCCACCGCTCAGGCTCCACTGGACTGTTTTGGATGGCTAGCTATTGGGGGTTGGGGAACGTGCAGATTCGCCCTCACAGAGGAGGGAGAGCTTGTACCTGAAGGTGGGCCGGGGGGGGGGGGGGGGGGGGGGCTGTGCAACTAACCTGGCTGCTTCTTGCTCTGACTGAGGGCTGCTGGGAGCAGGGGGCGGGGCTTGTTGCATGTGCCCGCCCCCTGAGATCCTTACTGCCGGAGGTCCGCTCCTGTGCGCTCCCACAGGAAATGACCCCTGCTGGCAACACAGCCCAGATATGGAATGCAACAGCGGCGCCCGGTGGATATCAACATACCTGTCGTAGTTAATAACGTCTTCCTCATTGCCATTGAGAGCTGCCTCGGACATCATTTCCACTTTCAGTTTCAGTTCTTCGTTCTTCCTCTGAAGATCGATGATTACGGAATTCAGGAAGTCGATCTAAAGGAGTTTGAAGACGGCGGAGGAAAAAAAGGAGACAGGATTAAAAACGTTCATAGTTTACGACGAAGTTTTAGCAAAAACAAAAAACATCAGCCCAAGCAACTTGCAAGGCAAGAACCGGCTGTCAGACAAAAACAAGCTCCGCCGACTTAGTTATTTGTGCCTAAAAAACAGACATACACTCCTGTGCACTTTCAGGTCTCAAAGAGCATTAATCAGCATAATTACAGAACAACACGCAAATGCGAATTGTGTCTTCTGTGACAGCAGTTATTGGAGCTAAACATGATGTGATCCAGGGCCAGGAACTGTCTGCGGCAGCACATGAGGCCAACCCAATAGTGAGGGAGTGGGATGGGAGATTTCCAGCAAATCTCTTCTAATGGGCAAACCCCCCCTCCCCCAAATTCTAAATTCATTGACTCCATCTTCTTACAGCGGTAGCATGGCAGAAACAAACTGAAGATGATCTGGACTGGTTTCCTAAATAAATTGTTGAGCTGGTAGGCTCAGCACCTAGCAGCTGGTGGGATGCCATTTTTATTACGCTTTATTACTGCCACCTCAGGTGTCTTAGTGCTTTATAAGGGTAACCAGAGCAGGGCTCATGCCAGTCTCCATCAGGGTCAAGGTTGGGAGGCCCCTGGCAGGATGCTCTCTAGTAGGGCACTTCCTTGGCACAGCCGTGAAAGAGCTGGAGGGGCCAGGCAAGCAAAGGGCAGCAGCTGCTTCTGTTTATCATTGCTTTGTGCTCATCTGCCCAGGTGAATGAACAGCCACCGCTGCTAGGAGCAGTCCACGAATTTGCTTCTTCTCTTTTTGTTTATTTTACGTCATGCAGTGCTGCTGCTGCTGCTTCCAACAATTGCCATGTGACTACAGATTTCCAGGGTAAACAATCTGTTTCCCTCAATGCTTCGTCAGGTCGCTTTATACTTGGAGCCTGTGCTCTATGTCTCCTACTCAGAATTGATCTTGCATTCTCTTGGCATCGGCTTGCCAAATGAGAGCCAGCAGATGCCGAGAAAACACAAGATTAAATCTGAGTAGGAGAAGCAGAACACTGGCTCCAAGTATAAAGCGACCTGATGAAGCATTGAGGGAAACAGATTGTTTACCCGGGAAATCTGTAGTCGCATGGCAATTGTTGGAAGCAGCAGCAGCAGAAGAAGAGATTGGATTTATACCCCGCCCTTCACTACCCAAAGGTGTCTCAGAGCGGCTTACAGTCTCCTTTTGCCTTCCCCTCCCCACAACAGACACCCTGTGGGGCTGAGAGAGCTCTTGACAGAAACAGCTCTTCTTCAAGAACAGCTGTGCCAGAGTTATGGCTTGCCCAAGGTCATCCAGCCAGGTGCAAGTGGAGGAGTGGGGAATCAAACCCAGTTCTCCCAGATTAGAGTCCGCGCACTTAACCACTACACCAAACTGGCTCTCGTACTGCATGATGTAAAATAAAGCACTGCATGACGTAAAATAAAGAAACAAAAAGAGAAGAAGCAAATTCGTGGACTGTAATGGGACTAAAATCGTTTTTGCACAGTGAACATTGGTGGGGTGCAACCTTGGTTGAGTCAGTGGTCCATTTGTGGCTGGAACTGCTGCTAGGAGCAGCAACCGCTGCTCGGCTGCCCTCCTCCCATGGGCTGGTGGCGGCAGCTGCCACTGCTGACGGGTGGGAGAGGGGGCGGCGAGAAATACCATGGAGCACTCACTGCTCTTCCTGATCCCAGATATCTGGCAAAGGAGGAGAGGAAGAGGAAGTGGAGGAGCCAGCACCTTCACCCTCCATCTGTAGGGATGGTGCGACTGCCAAAGGAGGAAGGAGGGACAGGGCTTCTCCTGTTCTTTCAGGAAGCCCACTACCACCACGGCCGTCACCTGGAGAGTCAGGACAGACTAGCTGCTGCTGCAGAAAGACAAACCTTCCAAGGCCGTGGGACTGCTCAGCAATGCCTGTCCCTAATGCCGGCCCTGGCTAGGTTGCCTCTGTCCATTGCAGAAGAAGAAGAAGAAGAGATTGGATTTATTCCCCGCCCTTTACTCAGAGTCTCAGAGCAGCTTACAAACCCCTTTCCCTTCCCCTCCCCACAACAGATGCCCCGTGAGGTAGGTGGGGCTGAGAGAGCTCTTTCCAGAACTGTCCTTGAGAGAACAGCTCTGACAGAACTATGGCTTGCCCAAGGTCATCCAGCAGCTGCGAGTGGAGGAGTGGGGAATCAGACCTGGTTCTCCCAGATTCGAGTCCACGCACTTAACCAATACACTAAACTGGCTTGAGGGACAGCTTGACCAGAGTTAAGGAAAAATAAAAGCTGCCCTGCTTACACCATCATGATTAAAACTGACAAAGCCAATTAAAAAAAAAAAACGAAAACAAAATTAAAGCAGAGAAAGCTGAAACAAACCATATGCTGATCGAAGGGAAGCGTTCCCAGCAGCGGACGAAAGCAAAGGGCAAAAGGGAAAGAAACCACGTGTTAGTACGTTTGTTACACTGCTTACTGTCAAGTCTATAAGCAGCGGGTTACCAAGAAGCAGGCCTGCTGGCTGTCGTCTCTCACCTTCCCCCTCCTCCACACCTTCCCAATTTTTCAACCAATGAAACAAAGCGGCATTTTAAAACAGCCTTCATTTCTGAGACTTCTGCTGAAGCAGCATTTACCAACTGCTGCTGAAACTCCGCATGTGTGGAACACATTGGGCTTAAGTACTCACACTGAGCACTGTCCATCAACCATAAAGGGGTTCATCCTACTTGAAAATTACACACCTGTGCATAAGGTGCACATCAGCGTATAGGCAATAGGAAAGTAACTGCAATGGATTTGTCTTTAGAGTGCTGTGCAGTCCTATGGCCCCCTTGTTCCTTGCCACTTTAAACCTTCAGAAAGCCTTGAGACAATGCGGGGTCATTAGTAGAGCTCGGCCAATATTGCAATATATCATAAGAAGGAAGACTGTGGGTCAGGTAAGACAGAAACAGCTCTGAGAGAACTTGTGACTGACCCAAGGTCACACCAGCAGCTGCACGTGGAGGAGTGGGGAATCAAACCCAGTTCTTCCAGATTAGAGTCCGCGCTCCTAACCACTACAGCAGACTGGCTCTAACAGAAAAGTAAAATTAAACAAGCAATCTGGTTTCAGTTAAAACAAGCAAATTAAATAAATGTCATGGGTATGAGATTAACCTTTATGACTGACAACGCTTGCCTCCAATTACTCATTCTAACCCTGGCAGCCCACCCTGCTCCTGCAGAGATAAGTGCTTGAACTACCTCACTAACCACTATAAAGGAGGGGGGGGGAGGGGAGGAGGACGAGGAGGAGATTGGATTTATACCCAATCTGTCATTTTTAATTTTTAAATTTTTTTGCCTGCCTCTTAGAGAGGCATTTCTGGAGTTATATCTTTCTTACGGACATGACTGGTTAGCCTTTGCAGCCGGAACTTAAATTTATCAGTTATCAGATTCAGACATATTTGTAATGTACAAAGTGGCACAATAAGTGGATTGTCCTGCTAAGGGTCATTCACAGAAGAGACCAGTTGACGTGAATGATTTACATATGTTTTTTATAGAATGGCTTTCTATTATAAGACATCACTATTACATATGATAAACCAACGATGGAGATGAGACTGGATTTGTACCCCGCCCTTCACGACCCGAAGGAGTCTCAGAGCGGCTTACGATCTCCTTCCCCTTCCCCTCCCCACAACAGACACCCTGTGAGGCAGGTGGGGCTGAGAGAGCCCTTTCGAGAACTGCTTGGGAGAAAACAGCTCTGAAACAGCTTATGACTGACCCAAGGTCACACCAGCAGCTGCGAGTGGAGGAGTGGGGAATCAAACCTGGTTCTCCCAGATTAGGGTCTGCGCTCTTAACCACGACACCAAACTGGCTCTCGTGATTCCTTGCAACTTGCAAGCCCTCAGAACAGATAGATTATAAAGTCTCTATTGAACCCTCAGAATAAGTCTAACTGATTTGTTTCTGTCCCTGAGGCTAAGAGGGTGCCCGCATAGATGGAGGACTGCTGGCAGCTAAGCCAACTCGTTTTTCAGGTGGGAGCAGGGAAGGGTCTTGGCACCCTCTCTCACTCTCCTCAGCTGGCCTCCCTCCACGCAGCCAGCCACACCCCACTTGCTCCACCATTTCCTTATGTGACTCTGCATGATTTCTGTCTCACTGTCACACCTGGCCCCTGTTGCTACGTTTGTCACTCCCACCAAGGAAGAAAAACAGGGTGGGGAGTCAGTCATGGGTGGCCAAACACACTGCTGCTACAGGGCCCCCAATACCTCAGAAACCATACCTGGCTTTCCTGGGCGTTTTCATCCTGGATGGTGCCACCAGCTATGTCATCTTGGGAGAGAGAGAGAAAAGGTACCTGTGTTATTGCCACCAGACTAAAACCATCTAAGACTCTTCGAGAGCTCACAATTTGGTGGTGAGCAGGACTGTTCCCACTGCCCATCTTCCCACATTTCTGATTGAGTGCAGACACACGCTAAGAGTCTCTCTGCCGTTTGGAAAGACCATGCAGATCAGCTGGCTACATGAACTCTATGGCACAGCTGCCAGTTTGAAAATGGAAGATCTCTGTCCACCTTCTGATTAGAAAAAGGAGACCCTCGCCTGGACAATTACATGTGCCTACAAGGGACAGAGAATTCTTATGTGGACACACCTGCAACCAAGGGATGGTACCAGTGTTCCCTCTAAGCTGAGTTATTGTGAGCTAGCTCACAGTTTCTTAGCCTCCGGCTCACAGATTTTTGTCTTCGCTCAGGAAGGAGGGCTCCAGAGCAAACTAATTTGTGCAGCAGCCAAATCCCTTGCTCACAACTTTAATGCCCGCAGGTCACAAAGTAGAATCTTTGCTCACAAGACTCCACCGCTTAGAGGGAGCACTGGTCATGGCACTCGATAACATGACAGGCGTACCCCACTCCTGGTTCGGATGACCCATGATGACTGACCCAAGGATGGCGGTTTTCACACGCCCAAGGTTATCCAAGGAGAATGTCAACAAGATAACATATCGAGAGATCTTACCCTGACTGAATTACTATTGTTAAGTCACTTCCTTCGAGAGGGTGGATTTAGATGATGCGGTGGGCACTTAAGATGGAGAACTTCTGCCACCGGCGCACGGCGGGATCCCAAATTAACCGTGCGGTCTGAAGGGATCCAATGCGTGTGGCCAGCCAGAGTTCAGCCAAGTTGCAACAGCAAAGATGCAGCAAGCGGACCAGAGCTGCATTTACCTGAGGAGCCGGGAGGTAGATTCTGGCTCTCTCTGAGCTTCTGCTCCAGATTCTTTACTTTTAGCTCAAGTTTCAACTTATCAGACTCCAGCGACTGAACTACAGAATGCAAACTCCTCGCAGTGGCGTTCTCCCCACGAAGTACAGTGACCTGCATAAGTGGGAGAGAGGAAGAAAACATACAGGCTGAAGGAAACAAAACCTTAAAAGGGAGCAGAGCCATAAATATGTGAAATGTAGGTCTATCTAAGGTAACCAGTAGTCACAATAACCAGAAATAGCAGACTGCGTGCTACCAGATGCTGGAGTCCAAACCACCAGGGATCAACCAACCTCGTTATACTACCCTCATGAGTTCCCCCAGGATCCCTGGTTGGCTAAACTTCAAAGACGGCTTTTCAGGTTCAGCAAATGCACCCCCGTGTCATTTGCTGAACTTTTCATCTGACCATGTCCTCCAGTGGCAAGACCTTGTGCTAACGCATCTAAGCCCACTATTTCCCCACAGATGGTTCCAGGTGGTCAGCTGTGTTGGTCTGAAGCAGCAGAACAAATAAAGACCGATTTCACACAAGAGCTGCGCTGCAGTCGCGCCTCCCTTTGCCTCGCTTCTATTGGTCAATTTCCCACTCGAAGCTGCGCGGCTTTGCCCGATTTTCCCCACGGTTTCAAGATCCTCAAAAAAACAGGATCACAAAACCGTGGGGGAAATCGGGCGAAGCCACGGGTCAAAATGCAGCCGTGCGGCTTCGAGTGGGAAACTGACCAATAGAAGCGGGGCAAAGGGAGGCGCGACCGCGGCGCAGCTCTTGTGTGAAATCGGTCTTAGAGTCAAGGTAATAAACCTTTGTTGGACTTAAAGATGCCACTGGACTCTAAATTTGTTCTGTTTCCCCACAGGACACCTTCATATGGCGTATACCAATTTCGTGATGCTATATTTTGTCTATTTGGAAGCACTCGCCCAAGAGGAAAATGGGGTATTTTGCCAACAAGCCGAGAGTTCACGTTTCTAGAATGGTACCTCATTTCTGAGTTTTTCCAGCTCTTCATCTCTCTCTGTGATCAAGGCACTAGTAATACTGAGGGATTTCTGTAAAGAAGTTCTCTCTTCATCAATTTCTTTTTTTAACTCGGATTCTCTAAAAGAGAGAGTCAAACAGTTTCAGAAGTTAGGTGAAGACTGGTTCTATTAATGCTACTTCGAAACCAAGAAAAAAAAATTAAAAAGTTGATTTCTGGAAACAGTTCTAGACAGAAAGTTTCAGTTCTACTTTAGTTGACTGAGACTTTGTATTTGGCTGAAATTATCTGGGACTTTACAACAGCGGAAATAAAATGAAAAGTTTTACCTACGAAGATTCATGCCAGATACTGCATATCATCGTATCCATTAGAGTTTAAAGAAAGATGTTAATAGGATTTGGAGACAGGGGATAGAGAACGGCGGAAGGGGAGAAACCTAAACTTCCAAGTTTTGTTACTTCTTGAAAAATAGTTATTAACAAGCAACGCGAAACATGCAAAACTCAGTTGTACAGCTGTCATGCAAAGCATGGGTGAAGCTGGAAGTATCGGCTGGTCCACACTAATTGCTCTAATGCCAACTTCAAACTTGGCTGCTGTTTCTATTATTGTTTTAAGTTATTGCTTTAACGATTATTGTTGAGACTGTGCGACTTTGTGACCCGTCCTGAGCCTGTTCACGTGGAGGGCGGGACAAAAATGGAATTAAATAAATAACCATCCCACCAGAGGCAATTTTCAGGCTCTAACAGGGCTCGGCAACAGGGAGATTTTTTAACAGAAGGTGATGCAATGTGGGAAGATGAGAGAACTTATCACCCTCTCCTAGAAACTGAGACTTCCCAACCAAAGCTGTGGCTGAAGATCAGATAGGAAAACACCATCTTCAGATAACAGTGTATTTGGGTAGCCCCAAGGTATCATTACTTGGCCATGTGAGTGAAGCAACTGATATCAGCCTGCATCATATAAGCTGTTTCAGAGCACTTGGGGATGGGAGTAGCTTATGCCTCTCATGACAGGCATGGAAAGGCTCGGCAGCAGAGGCTGAACAAGCCCAGGCTGAGCACGCGGCACCCACCACATCTGATCCAGAATGGATGAAAGCAACAAAAACTATAAATTACAGGTGCTGCAATCCACACGTGTCCAAACTTTAACTGCCTTCAGAGCCAGTTTGGTGTAGACTCTAATCTGGGAGAACCGGGTTTGATTCCCCACTCCTCCATTTGCAGCTGCTGGATGACCTTGGGCAAGCCATAGTTTTGTCAGAGCTGTTCTTGAAAAAGAGCAGTTTCTGCCAGAGCTCTCTCAGCCCCACCTACCTCCCAGGGTGTCTGTTGTGGGGAGGGAAAGGGGAAGGAGTTTGTAAGCCCCTCTGAGACTTCGAGTGAAGGGCAGGGTATAAATCCAATCTCCTTCTTCTTCTTCTTGTGGGTCACTCAATGCTATCTTTCTTATTGCACCCACCAAGCAATGCCTCTAGAAACCCCACTGAAAAGAAGGGAACGCTATTATTTGTTGCAAAGGGGAGCCCGTATAGAAGATGTCCACAGTGGGTTCTGCTCTTTATCAGAGAAATCTGAACTTATACAAACATATGAAGTTTTTGCACTTGGGTCAGAGTCAGACCATTGGTTCCTTCTGGCTCAGCACTGTGTCCTCAAGGACTCAGGTAGAGAAATAATTTCCCCAACACCCGAGAATCCTTTAACTGGAGATGCCAGGGACTAAACCTCCTCCTGCCTGCGGCTATGCTCCCAGCTTGATGGCCAAACGGAATGGTCATTGCCCAAGAAGCAGGAGGGGGCCAGGAAGAGAGAGAGTCGATCATGCAAGTCCAGACATAACACAATGCAAACTAAGGAAGGGATAAAGCGTAGGTTGCACCAGAGAGAGGAAACCTGCAGTTAGTGAGAACCACGATAGCCAGCATAATGAAACACGGTTTTGATCCTTGCAGTAGTAGCCCAGGGGGGAAAATATGCATAAAAAGCAAGCAACAGTGGCAAGACAGCACAGAAGGCCTTTCAGAGTTATGCAGATGTTTATTTTTAGGGATGGAAGCAGCGAGAGAAGAATCTGGGATGTACAGACACAGAGGCACACACGACAGCTGGATCGGATTTTTTTCTTTCTTTTTTGGAACAGTGAAAGAGTTAAGGGGGAGGGGGGAGAAGCAAGCTGGCTGGAGTGGCCTCCCTAAATATCACAAACGCTGTTTTTGTTCTAGAGAAGTTCAGTGACATTTAAGCCCCAGCTTTGGTTCTGCAGAATGCTTCAGCGCATGAAAGAAAACCTCGATTTAATGGGGTGACCCTCGGCTGCTAAGCGAGACTCTGTGTAGAGTGCAGAGGGACAGGGGCCACCTGGACCAGGAAGGGGGGGGGTATCAAGCCACAGCAGGCTTGGTGGAACAGAAGTGGGCACACTTGGGGGAGTGAGTGAAGGTGTGCGGGGGGAGTGAGTGAGGGTGCACGTGCGCATTCTGCGCTCATTTGGTTGGGGATCTGTGCCTTCCGGTTCGCCACATTCGAGACACAGAGGATAAGGACATGGAGAAGTTTGTAAGCTTCTCTCTGCGCCCCAAATGGAAAAGACTGTGCTCTTGTGGTAAAAGTGCATGGACATGGGTCCAACGTTCCCTCTAAGCTGTGGAGTCTTGTGAGCAAAAATTCTACTTGGTGAGCTACCGGCATTAAAGCTGTGAGCGAGCGTTTTGGCTGCCGGATGAATCAGTTTGCTCTGGAGCCCTCCTTCCTGAGCTAAGGCAAAAATCTGTCAGCTGGAGGCTAAAAAACTGAGTTAGCTCACACTGACTCAGCTTAGAGGGAACATGGTTCGGGTCATACACAGCTCTGGATGTAACAGCAACTTGTCATATGGGCCCTCCAACCGGCAACAGACACTTTTTAGCTCTTCTGGGAAGACCAGCAACAGTCAAGGCTCATTTCACAGATTCCGTCCGCTTTTATTTTTACAGCGCTTCTCTCTTCACCTCCTTGACTCTGAAAAGTCTCTCCCACTTCATGCCTCTGAACATACCAAGGGTGAGCAAGGCTGTTAGAGCACAAACCCTTGTGGAAGAAACACCAAAAACTAACGTTTCAACTGCCTTTTATGATATGGATTCAGGACCAGCCCTAACATTAGGCAAAGCGAGACAGCGAGGTAACGTTTTAAGGCAGCACATTTGTCAGTTTAGGTTTATTACGTTTTAACTACCATGGGATAGAATCCACTTAGCTGTCCTACTTTAGGCACCAAAATTGCCCTGGGGAGTCTCTCCTGATATATATCTCAAGGTCAAAACGGTGTGGTTCGTGCTGGGATCAGTTATATTGGGAGACACATAGATACATACATAACCTCCTGCAATCTGCAAGATCTATCATGCCAAGAAAGCCCAAGAAGATAGGAGTGCGGTTATTCTGAACTTGAAAGACAATTTCACGGATCAGAGATCTCCATAAATTGAACAATAGTTTCATTTTTGTACTGAGGGGGAAGGTTCATATCCGTTTTCTACAGTAATTCCAAGTTCTGTACAGTAAGCCGACTGCAATCCGACAGGCACCTCTCGAGACCAACAAAGTTTTATTCAAGGTATGAGCTTGCGTGTGCATGCACACAAAAGTTCATACTTTGAATAAAACTTCAGTGGTCTTCAAAGGTTCCACTGGACTCTAAATTTGTTCTACTGCAATCTGAAAGATAGGTTTCCTACAGAAGGCCCATCGAACTGAACGGGACTTGCTCCACTGAACTGGGTAGATCCGTGCGCTTGTGCACGTTTGGAGACACTGCTGCTGGGTGGCACGCGGGGCAGTCAATGAGCAATCTGTCCAGATCACCTTTATAACGCTACCTGCCGCTGGCTGTTCTGCTCTGGTCTCGGAGAAGGGCCAGACGGCAAGAACAGCATCTGGCCTGCTATTGGCTGAGCTGCTGTGATGTCAGAACAGCTAGAGGCCCCTGCTACAATCCTCACCCAGATTCTTCCCTTGCCACAAAAAAAAAAAAAAACCAAAACAAGAAATTCCAATAATGAAGCAAATACCTTAAAGTGATACTGGGCAAGCTTTAAAAATGCAAGATAACAAGAACCACATGTTAGAAACATGGAAGAGAAATGCAAAATACAGTAAAAGAAGAACTAAATTTGCACTGAAGTGAATTCTGTTGTTGTTGTAAAAAAAATAAAATTAAAAACAAAACAAAAGACTTAATAACTGCTGAGTATTTTACGAAACCAAAACCAAAAAGAAAGCAAGACACTGAAGGGAACGAAAGGCAGCCAAAAATATGTACAACTTTACTGGAGGAAAAAGTTATTTATTGTAACGTGGATAGACTTTCTTTAGTCTTACCATTAAAGACACACAGATATAGCAAAGGAAGCCAGGGTTGGAAAGGGAAGAGAGAGGAGTGAAATGAGTATTGAGAGAATAGCGCAAGCTCAGAGACAGTCAGACAGTTAGCAAATCCACAATGGGTCTAATGAACTGAAGTAACACCGTGCCCTTCTTTAACTATAGAGCCTTAAGTATCTAACACCCACTTTGACCATTTGCGCACTCCCATTTTCTGGCGGGGAAAAAGGAAACATTCTGGCGAGGGGGAAAATGACTTGGAGCTGAGCGTCTGGTCACCTCCACCTGCCTGAGACATCTTGTCTTTCATACCCTTGCCCCCAGCTCAGCAAAGAAATAAAGAGGTTACAAGGAGATCCTCTTGCTATTTCTTAGAACCAAAGAGGTCGATGCTTTTGGCTTGTCAGCCCTCTGATGAGTTTAATTTCCTGATTCGCCATCATACTTATAGAATCACAGAATCACAGAGTTGGAAGGGGCCATACAGACACATCTAGGCTAACCCCCTGCCCAATGCAGGACCAGCTTCTAATGCCAAGTCCAAAAAAAAAAGGCATCACTATTCTCTGCAGGTAAAGCTGCAAGTGTGCTTCAGAGAGAATTCATTAATGCTTCCACGTAAATGAATCTGCTACTTTTCTCATTAGCAAACTAAGTGGTGAGAGTGTCACTGCTGGATTCTGGGTGTGTTAATTGGGCCGTACAGACTGAAAAGGGAAACTGTCACTAACCTAGAATAATTTTACGGTATCTCAAAATAGGGTCAACTACTGAGACAAAGACTTTGCATGAATAGGCATTGTGTGAAGGTGGCACATTTCCCCCAGGCCGCCTTCTTTGTCAACTAAATTGAGGTTGTCAAAAAGTTAGTTTGGACATGCCTCTCTCTCAGGCCCGGGCAAAGTCCTCTTAGCAGTACTTTGGCAACTATCCTATGTGAGGCATTTGGAAGCTGATCTGCGGGAGGGCTTCTCATTTGTGTCAAATCATGTTCAAGTGATATAATAAATGTTCCACCGGACACTGAAAATGGCACTGAATTATCTCGGGTGCTGAAATGCAGAGAACAGAGAAGGAAACGTCTAACTGAGATGGCACGTGCTAGGTTACGCAATGTTAAATGTTTCTTTTTTTAAAAAAAAAATCAAGCATTTGTACTTCATTTTTAGGGATGAGAAAGATGCAACTGTTTGCATGTATTCAGTACTTCCCATGCAAAGACGTTTTTAAACAGTGGAAATGAGCGATCCTGGGGGATTTCTATCGCAAAAGGATAGAAGGACTGGAACAGTCACCACACTTTTTAACGTTATCCCATTCTTCTAGTGATCAGCACACATGCATGCACACACACACACAACTCACACACACTCACAAGTTACCTCTTTTTCATCTCTAACAACTGGTTATTGAGGACCGATCTCTCTTCGTCCAGCTGAAAGACAAAAAACAGAAAACAGAAATTGTTATTTACCATGCAACATCGAGAATTGTAGAAAACCCTGTTCTGTTTATAACATTAGGCTATCCTTTACAATCTACGCATCGAGCAAAGGGGAAAAAATAGGAATTTGTTCCCAGAGATATGGGGGGGGGGGGAATCCAACTTAGATTGGTTAATAGATATCAGTTAATCCCTGCAGGCACATGAAACCAATGTCTGCTGCTCTCACTCACACGGACACGCACAGTTGCATTCAGACACCACAGTTTTGCGTAGGCGCAAGTCATTCATTCCAGTGTTTCCGCTCCTTCTCTCCACCTCTCCTAGCGAAGGAGGACATCCTCCTTGTGCTGCCGTCTCTGTGGCCAGGCGGCCACACAGGGTACTGGTAGGGAAGGCCAGTAGTGAAACTGTAGCTTGTGAAGGTAGATGTCACAACAATCCACATTCAATACAAATGTCACAACTAATGGGGGTCTGATGCAAGTACAGTTTAGAGGCCGTAATCATAATAACATAAGAGAACATATGAGAAGCCGATGCTGGATCAGGCTAATGGCCCATCCAGTCCAACACTCTGTGTCACACAGTGGCCAAAAATACCAGGTGTCACCAGGAGGTCTATCAGTGGGGCTGGGACACTAGAAGTCCCTCCCACTGTTGCCCCCCCCCCCCAAGCACCAAGAATACAGGGCATCGCCTGCCCCAGCCTGTGAGTTCCTATCTATACATTGTGGCTAAGAGCCACTGATGGACCTCTGCCCCATATGTCTATCTAATTCCCTCTTATAAGAACACTAGAAATAAGGCCCGTTGTGGAAATAAATACAACGGGAGCTAGAAAGAGGCTCTGGGAGAGTGCTCTGGCTTTGGGCAAACAGTGTCAGTCTGCTTTTAAAACATGAACCTGGGACCTGCACACCACCAGAATACAGCAGGTTCCCTATGCAACTGACATTCCAACTGCCTTGCGGGGGGGGGAGTTTGAGGTGTGGAATGGAGTGAAGTCCAATCAGCTTCCATATGCAAAAGATCAGGTTGTCGCAGCAGTTGTGGTATGGGCGGGACCTGGGCTTTGCCTTCTGATTGGTGGCGATATATGCTGAGGAGCAGTGCCATCAGCCATACACTAAGGGAGTGCATTTTAGAATTAGAACTTTGGCACCCACTATTCAATTATATATAAGGAGAGATAAGAGAAGCCAATGTTGGATCAGGCCAATGGCCCATCTAGTCCAACACTCTGTGTCACACAGTGGCCAAAAATACCAGGGGGCATCAGGAGGTCCAGCAGTGGGGCTGGGACACTAGAAGCCCCTCCCACTGTTGCCCCCCCCAAAAGCACCAAGAATACAGAGGATCACTTGCCCCAGACTGAGAGTCCCTATCTATACCTTGTGGCTAATAGCCACCAATGGACCTCTGCTCCATATGCTTATCTAATTCCCTCTTATAAGAACATAAGAGAAGCCAATGTTGGATCAGGCTAAAGGCCCATCCAGCCCAACACTCTGTGTCACACAGTGGCCAGAAATACCAGATGCCATCAGGAGGTCCAGCAGCGGGGCAGGGACACTAGAAGCCCTCCCACTGTTGCCCCCCCCCCCCCCGCCAACACAACACA